ATCTATCTATCTATCTATCTATCTATCTATCTATCTATCTATCTATCTATCTATCTATATCTGTATCTTTATCATCTATCACTATCTTATCTATCTATATCTGCCTACATCTGTCTGTCTGTCTGTCTATCATCTATCTATCTATCTATCTATCTATCTATCTATCTGTATCTTTATCATCTATCACTATCTTATCTATCTATATCTATCTGCCTACATCTATCTATCTATCATCTGTCTATCTATCTATCTATCATCTATCTATCTGTCTGTCTGCCTATCTATCTATCTATCATCTATCTGCCTACATCTATCTATCTATCTATCTATCTATCTATCTATCTATCTATCTATCTATCTATCTATCTATCTATCTATGTAATCTATCTATTTGTATCTGTATCTTTATCATCTATCACTATCTTATCTATCTATATCTATCTGCCTACATCTATCTATCTGTCTATCTATCTATATCTATATCTTTATCATCTATCACTATCTTATCTATCTATATCTATCTGCCTACATCTATCTGTCTGTCTGTCTATCTATCTGTCTATCTATCTGTCTATCTATCTATCTATCTATCTATCTATCTATCTGTATCTTTATCATCTATCACTATCTTATCTATCTATATCTATCTGCCTACATCTATCTATCTATCATCTGTCTATCTATCTATCTATCTATTATCTATCTATCTGTCTGTCTGCCTATCTATCTATCTATCATCTATCTGCCTACATCTATCTATCTGTCTGTCTGTCAGTCTGTCTGTCTGTCTGTCTGTCTGTCTATCTGTCTGCCTATCTGTCTGTCTATCTGTCTGTCTATCTATCTAATCTATGAATGATGATGTTACCTAGTTAGGGCAATGAAACGTCTGCAGGAGAACCAACCAGCTCAGAGGGCACCAAAGACACCTCACCTCCACCCACCTGCGAACTCATCCTGTGGCAGGCTGTTCCGCTGCCCCCCCTGGTGCCTCCTGACGGGCAGGAACAGAACTGGACCCTTCATGGGGGGAGGAATCTGGGCTGGGTGGAACAGGGAGGCCCCTCCCCCGAGCCCCCTTTGTCTTTTGGGCAGTCTTTTCTGTTGGCGTTTGGCTCCCCAACATTCGAGATCGCCTTCAAAAGGCGATTTTGTTTTTGTTGCGAGGACTTAACTCCTGAGGGGTCTGGTGTTGCTCTGTCAACAATGGAAAAGGAGGCCAGAGGGCAACACTGAGCCTTCCCCTTCCCTCCCCCCCCCAATTTCTGTTCCCCGTGCCAGGTTTCTGGAGGGGGACGACGAAGAGGACACCTGCACCATCACCCAGGCCGATATCGCTGCTGCCGTGGACCTCGCAGCCAGTGCCAAGGTGGAGGGGGGGTGCTCCGGAATGGGGTGCACTGGCAGTTACTGGTTTGGGGGGAGGTTGGGACCCCCAACTACATCACCTTCGTGCTGCCTCTTCTCCCATAGCACTTTGAGCTGCGGCTAGATCGTTTTGGCCCCTACCGGCTCAGTTACACACGGAACGGCCGGTGAGTGGGCTTTGCGAAGGGTCTCGGATCGCTGAAGTTGGGGGCGGTGGGGTCTCCTGCGTCCCACCCCCTCACCCCTGCCTTGCTCCCGCTTCAGGCATCTCCTCCTGGGGGGGCGCCGTGGCCACGTAGCGGCCCTGGACTGGCACACGAAGGCCCTGATGTGCGAGATGAACGTCATGGAGACCGTCACGGATCTCACGTGAGTGAGGAGCATGACGAGGGAAGGGGGGGGCGAACGAGGGAGGGGGGAAGCACGAAGGTCCCCCCCACCCAGCAGGGGCTGCAATCATCGGCCCAGCCCTCCTGGGATGGTTCTACTGCAACCGTCGCAACCTGGGAGCATTTCAACCCGCAACCGCAGGCCTTGATTTGGCTGGGGTGTTCGTGCCCACCTGCTCCCCCCCACACACACACCAAAGGAACCGCTGAGCTGTGAGGGGGGGCAGGGGGGCCCACTTTCCACCCTGCGCGTTGCAGGTGGCTGCACACGGAGGCCATGTTTGCCGTGGCCCAGCGCAAGTGGCTGTACGTGTACGACAACCAGGGCGTGGAGCTCAACTGCCTGAAGCGCTTCCACGCCGTCCAGCGGATGGAGTTCCTGCCCTACCACTTCCTGCTGGCCACAGCGGTGAGCGGGCACCGGGCCCCACCAGCCACGCCGGCTCTCCGAAGGGGGTCACCTGGGGGCATTGACCGGGGGGGGGAAGAGGGAGTTCCTGTGTAGCAGCTCTCCTGGGTCACACACACACACAGACAGTCTGTCTGATTTCACGGCTTGGGTTGAGCTGAGCAACCCCCAACCCCAAAAGGGCAACCAGTGAGTTCCTGAATCTCAGGGTTGGAGGGAACCCCATGCTCATCTAGACTGACCCCTGGCCAAAGCCAGAGCCCTCCCTCAGCCATCCACCAAAGTCAGGTGGGATGGAGAGCAGCGAGGTTTCAAAGCCTGGCATGGGTGTGTGTGTGTGTGGGGGGTCACTTTTCTCCACCTCCCCCCCAGAACTCTGTTCTCTGCTCCCCCCTCCTCCCCCCCCCAGAGCGAGTCAGGGTTCCTGCAGTACCTGGACATCTCGGTGGGGAAGGAGGTGGCCACTATTTGTACGAAGGCCGGCCGGCTGGCGGTGATGGCCCACAACCCCTCCAACGCCATCGTCCACCTGGGGCACAGCAATGGTGAGTGAGGTGGGCCGTGTGGGGCCTCTCCTTGCCCTCGTCCGGAGCGCCTCCGCCCACCGACCCCGCCACCTTTGCCTCCGCTGCAGGGACGGTGACCCTGTGGAGCCCCAGCGCCAAGGCCCCGCTGGTCCGGCTGCTGTGTCACCAGGGGGCCGTGAGGGCCGTGGCCGTCGACCCCTCCGGGAGGTGAGCAAAGGGGCGGCCGGGAGCGGCACAAAGGGAAGGGGGGACACGCGCGGAGCGCAGAAGGGGACTCTCCTTGCCTTCTCCCACAGCTACATGGCCACCTCGGGACTGGACCACAAGCTGCACATCTACGACCTCCGGGCGTATCGGCGCCTCCACTCTCTGCTGCTGCCCTCCGGGGCTGGGCAGCTGGATTTCAGCCAGCGGGGGCTCCTGGGGGCTGCCTGCCAGGAGGTGGTGCAGGTGAGTGACGCAGGCTGAGTCTGGCCCTCCCACAGCCCGGGGCTCCTCCTCCCCAACTCGGCCCCTCGTGAGCTGCCGCCGTCGCCTCTCCCCCAGGTGTACAAGGACATCTCGTCCCGCCCGTCGCAGAAGCCCTACCTGTGTCACGGGCTGCCCGGCCCCTCCCACGGCCTCCGTTTTTGCCCCTTTGAGGACGTGCTGGGCGTGGGGCACGAGCAGGGCTTTGCCAGCCTTCTGGTCCCAGGTAAGGGGGGAGGGCGGAGTGGGGATGGGTTCACTCCCGTTTTGCGAGAGGAATTTCCTCAGCCGGGTGGCCTCCGCAGGTGCCGGCGAGCCGAACTTCGATGCCCTGGAGAACAACCCTTTCCGCAGCCGGAGGCAGAGGCAGGAGTGGGAGGTGAAAGCTTTCCTGGAAAAGGTGAGTCACCCCCCAGGACCGTGCCCCCCTGCTTCCTTCCCCCACTTCAGCGCCCCCTTGTCCCCTGCCCGCAGCTAAGGCTACTCTTCCTTGGCGCTTGAGCCGTCTCCAGAAGCCACGGATCCAAGAGGGTGCTCTGGGGGGGGGAGGAGCCCTACCCCACCCCGTTGTTTTTCCTCACGGCCGGCTCTTCTCCGCAGATCCCGTCGGAGCTGATCAGCCTGGACCCCACAGAGCTGGGCAGGGTGGACCCCATTTCCTTGGACCAGCAGCACAAGGAGCGGGCGGAGAGGCTGGTAGGCGTCCGGGGCTGGTGGGCACCGATGGGAGGAGGAGGAGGCCCAAGGTGTGGCCTTGTAGGGCTCTGGGTCTGAGGACGCTGACTCCGTGCCCCCCTTCCCGCAGGGCTTCGACCCGGAGGCCAAGGCGCCCTTCTCCCCTCGCCGGAAGCTGAAGGGCCGGGATTCGGCAGGCAGCAGGCTGAAGCGAACGAAGAAGGTGGCCGCAGAGGAAGAGCGGGTGAGTCTCCTCCGGAGGTTGACTGCGCCTTCCGCCCCCTCCTCCTCCCTGGATCCCAGCCCCCCCCCCCACCCCGATCCTGATGAGCCACAACGTGGCTGCCAAACATTTCCTTTTTAATACATCAGAGGGTAAGAAAACATTCACATTTGATTCTGGAGAATCCACCTGATGGTTCACCTGTTGTCAGCCTAGAAGTAAACAAATGCCTCAGAAGTTCTTTCAAGGCTTCCATCTGGCTCTGGAGTTTGGAAGGGGGCCCTTGGGGGGAGGGGGGTGGTCTGCCAGTTCCAGTTCACACCCACCCACCCACCCACCTTCGTCCCGGCAGGCCCTGGTCCGGAAGAGCTTGGCTGCCAAGGCAGAGACAAAGCAGCCAGCGACACCCAAGGCCGCAGCCCCTGCAGCCCGCAGGTCAGCGCTGGATCGTTTCCGGAAATAGCGGGCGAAGGAGGCCGGCAGGGCGCGTTGGCCTCCCCTGTCGTGCGCTGGACGGCTGGCCCCGTGGACCTTCCCCCAAAACCCCCGTCAGCTTATTTGGACTCTGAGCTTTGAATAAATACACACTTGTGATTTGTAGTGGCTGCCCCCACTTCCCTCTCTTTCGGTGGGCAAAAAATGGGGGCTCCCCGGAAGCATCCTTGCGATTAGGGACCAAAGTGGTACCCCCAAAAGTATTCTTGGACATTGGGAAGGGGGGGCTATCCTGCAGGCCACAGAGGGCCTCCCTTCCCTAAGGGCTACAGCCCCCCCGCCCCCCCTACGTGCACAGGTGGATCTGGGCAACTGCAAGGCTCCTTCCGTGTCCCACAGGCCCTGCTAGAGTAGCCACCTTCACAACCGCCCCGTATTCTGGCTTGATGTGACAGTTCTCTCTCCTGCCCACCCCCCCACAAGAGTCCTGCCCCCACGGGCTCCCCATGTCCGTTCAGACCCCACCCGCGGTTCGGGGTCGGAGGCGCTTCCTCCATCCGGGTTGCCAAAAGTCCACTTGGAGCCGCTGGCGCAAGAGAGGACGGCAGCGCGCTCAGCGCTCGGACGGCAGCCCAAAAGACCGACCAGGCAGCCGGGCTGAATTCCGCAGCGGCGGCGCCTCGTCCCGCAGTCCACAGAGGGGAGGCCGTCCAAGGCCGGCTCACGGGCCGTCCGGCTCCTCGGTCGCCCAGTGCAGCCAGGATAACACCTTGCAGCGGGCCAGGCCCAGCAGGCGCTGCCAGGCGGTGCAGGAGGGCTCGGGGGCGGCAGCCACGGCCAGCATCTGGGCGGGCGACACGCGGTGCGCGCTGAAGAGCACCTCCCGGTAGCAGCAGGCGTCGGGCGGGAAGCAGGTGGCGCCGGNTCCCCCCCCTGCAGAAAGCTGACCCCTTCCCCGGAGCCGCCGACCCGGTCCCACCGGAGCGAGTGCAGAAGTTCCAGCGTGGAGCCCCGCAGCAGCTGGTGAGCTCTCCACCCCACCCTGCCCCCAGTTATTTCTGGGCTGACACCCCCACCCGCGTGCCCCTCTGATGCCGTGCCCGTGTCCCGCAGGAGGCCGTGTCCAGCGAGCGGCTGAAGCACCGGCTGACCTCGCAGGAGGAGAAGGCCCGAGCGGCGGCTCACCAGGCGGCCCGGATGGAGCTGCTGCTGCTGGAGGAACCCGGGTGAGCCCCTCCCCCCTCCTCCTGGCCCTGCCCGCAGAGCGCCCCCCCCACCCAGGAAGGAGGGTCTCTGCCGCTCGGGGCTGGCAGAAGAAGCCCTTGGTGCCCTCTTGGGCCGGCCGGTTCTGTCGCAGACGCTCCACGACCCAAACCAGGGAACGTCGTCCGTGCTGGTCCTAGCAGTCCCAGCCCTGATGACGCTGCCTAGTTGGGTCAAGAAATGTCTGCAGGAGAGCCAGCCGACTCATGAAGAGGGCACCAAGGAGCTCTGTCTGTCTGTCTGTCTATCTATCTATCTATCTATCTATCTATCTATCTATCTATCTATCTATCTATCATCTACTGGTCTGCCTGCCTGATATCTCTCTCTCTCTCTCTCATCATCTATCTATCTAATCTATCTATCTATCTATCATCTATCTATCTATTTGTATCTGTATCTTTATCATCTATCACTATCTTATCTCTATCTATCTATCTATCTATCTATCTATCTATCTATCTATCTATCTATCTATCTATCTTGCCTGCCTATCTATCTATCTATCTATCTATCTATCTATCTATCTATCTATCTATCTATCTATCTATCTATCTATCTATCTATCTATCTATCTATCTATCTATCTATCTATCATCTACTGGTCTGCCTGCCTGCCTGCCTGATCTCTCTCTCTCTCTCTCTCTCTCTCTCTCTCTCTCTCTCTCTCTCATTATCTATCTACCTACCTACCTATCTATCTATCTATCTATCTATCTAATCTATGATGATGATGTTACCTAGTTAGGGCAATGAAACGTCTGCAGGAGAACCAACCAGCTCAGAGGGCACCACGGACACCTCACCGCCACCCACCTGCGAACTCATCCTGTGGCAGGCTGTTCCGCTGCCCCCCCCTGGTGCCTCCTGACGGGGAGGAACAGAACTGGACCCTTCAGGGGAGGAATCTGGGCTGGGTGGAACAGGGAGGCCCCTCCCCCGAGCCCCCTTTGTCTTTTGGGCAGTCTTTCTGTTTGTTGGGACCTTGTACTCATGTTTGGAGCATACTCCAGGTCGGAACTGCTGGCCCTGCGCGATTCCCCCCTCGCGCAGGTACGGCCCAGTATAATCTTGAGGACCGTCCTCAATGACGGGGTATGGAACCCCCAGAGGCACGCAGCAAAAAAAGAACTGAAGAGGAAATTGAGAACTTTTTTAGTGGGATGTTTTAACAAATTTTTAGGGGGTACGGGGAGGGCCGGGGGGGGCATGGGGGATGCCTCTCTGGGGCCAAGGCCGAGCCTGTCTGAGGGGCGCAGCGTGGGAGTGGAGGGGGAGGTGGTTGGGGGGTCAAGAGAGGGTGGGATGATTAGTACGGTCAGTGGGAGGGGCAGATATGGCGGGAGCAGAGGACCATATCGGGTTTGGGGAGCACGCACACGCTGTCTACAAGCGTGTGGGCGCTCCGGTCCTCAGGGCTCTACTCGGTCTCCAGGGAACTTGGATCCCCAGGCCCGGGATCACCGGCTGATGTTATGCAACGCCAGGTCAGTGGTGAACAAAGCCCCCCTCATTCAAGATCTTATTCAAGAGGGGGGTGCGGACCTGGCAGGTATCACCGAGACCTGGCTGGGCACGGAAGGGGGAGTGCCCCTCGTTGACATCTGCCCGCCGGGTTTCCAGGTATTCCATCAGCCAAGGA